CAGTGTCCGTGGGCCCTTAGACCCTTCAGCTGTCTGGAGGGAGGGGGAGCAGGGAAATGGTGTGGGGGCTGCTCTCAGACACACCAGCTCCCTACCCAGAGCAGGTGGAGGCCCTGGGGCCCCCTCAGTGACTCAAAGTCCCTGTCCAGCTCTGACTTCTGGCTTGCCTGGGAGTGGGCTTCCCAAGAGGAGAGCAGAGGAGCAGTAGGCACGGACAGTTCCAGGGCTCCTGAGGGGGGCCAAGTTGGCTGACCATTGCCCCACACAATGGTCCATCATTGTACACAAAGACAAAAGAAGTAGGACAGGGAATTAGATTTAAGTTCCAGACTAATGGCCTGACCCTGAAATTGTTCTTCACCTCTAAGATGCTCTACACTTTTGTGTTTTCATCAACTGGAAAAAATTTGATTGTTTAAAAAACTTCTACTTCGCTTTAAGGGAAAATGTAGAGTTTTAGCAGATTTGGCATATTTGGTAAACACATGTTTAGAGGATCAGAAGGCATGGAAATGAAAAGGGTAAAGTAATATGGTGTGGACACTTATTTACAAAAAAAAAAAAAATCTACTTAACTGAGTCAAGATCCTCTCAGTTTTTTGGCAAAAATCCCTCCATCTTCTTGTCTTCCAAGCTAATTATGGATTTTCATGAGCACACTTTGCTAATCAGGTTTAATGATACTAAACCAACTTCCCATTATTATTTTCTAAGGCTGTGCTGGAGACATGCCACATTAACCCAACAGAACAAAGCACCTAGAGAACAGAAAACACACTGGAGAAACAAAACTCGTATTAGGAGCTGTGGGACTAGTCCCTTTTACAATATGGCATATCTAGGGATTTATAAATGAATATAAAACAACAAAAAGCTATAACTGCCCTTGAGGGAGCCTATTACATTAAAGATCAAATTTTGTGGGAGAATTGGTCTTGACTTGATCCTCATCGTTATTGCAATGTCCAATTGAGTAGACTAATAAAATACCAATCCATGTTGTAAAACACTATTACAATACAGGACATTATATTTTTCATAAGGATTTCTATACTTGCATATGTAGTCACCACAGTCTTCCTTGCAACACAGTTACATGGCACCCAGTTACATGAACCAGAACCATTCCATCAGATGGAAAGAAACATGTTAAAGGGCTCAAGGGAAAGCGGACCTCCGCTTGTGGAGTTCCTCTCCTGTCTCTCCATTAGGAGGCACAGTTCCCCAGAGAATAGTGTTAGGTGGAAAGTGTTAATGACAACCATCAAGTAGGTTTTTGATTTGTAAATAGTCACAGGCTGAGTTAGATACAGTAGATGTGTTTTTTAAAGACTTGTTCTTTCTGAATCAATGGAAGAGAAATTAAATGTCTTTAGTGAGAGCTGGAAGAGAGGAGGCTACTGCCCAATGCACTGGACTTCATGGCAAGGCCTGATCAGATGCTAAGCCACATGGTCCAAGTGGGTTCTCTGAGTGCAAACACAAGGGATTGGGGATTTACTGTCAACCTAGGCATAAGCACGAGGGAGGAAGCCAACAGAAAATAAAGAGCCTGCAGCTAGCAAGAGAAGCAGTCATGATTGGAGCCAGAGAGAGTCCTGAGTGAAGCTATGTCTAGAGTGCAGGCTTCTTTCGGAAGAAGTTTTTCTGGAAGAGATCTTCCGGAAAAACTTCTTCCGAAAGAGAGCGTCCACACTGCCAAAGCGCATCGAAAAAGCGATTTGCTTTTTCAAAAGATAGCTTCCACACTGAATGGATGCTATCTCGCATTTCAGCTGTGATTACTATGGATGGAGTGGCCACTAGCCTAGGGCACCTGTGCTTTTTCCTCTTTCCTCTTCTTTCAAAAGAACTCCTTCTTACCCATCCACACACGCCTTTTTCTGAAAGAGCTCTTTCGGAAAAACACTTCTTCCTCGTAGAATGAGGATTACCAATGTTGGAAAAACTCCTCGGTTGTGTCTACATTGGCAAGATTTTGCGTAAAAGCGGCCGCTACTAAAAAGGTGTGTGTGTGTGTGTGTGTGTGTGTGTGTGTGTAAAACAGCATTTTTTCTTCTCCATAGTAAAGCTGCATGAAAGCTAAAGTTCAGTTCTAAACTTTTGAAAGAACCATAACATCCTGTTCAGTGGTACAAACATTTCAGAGTTATGGAAAACCTCCATTCCCGAGAGGTTCATGACCCTGAAGCGCCCTGTTCATTCTTTGTAAATAAACAGGATTGCATAAGAATATACCCAATGCTTTCATCATTTGCTCTACCCAACAGAAAAAATCCAGCAAGGAACCAAATTTTAGCTAGCTGGTGAGTCCAAAAAAAGGCAGCAAAAGGAATGGATAGCGGTGGGACACCATTTACTTTCAAGACCTTGTGTTTCTATGCTGACTCTAGACCCCGGCAGCCCCTCTCCTCTGTGTTTGTAAGGAGAACAGCCGTGAGGGAGACGGGGTTGTGTGGAATTATTACATCCTGACATTTTTTAGCTTAGGCTGTACAGGATGAGTGGTGGTGGGAAGTGATTTACATCACCCCGTCACTCCCACTCTTTCGCTGTCCCTGCCATCTTCTTCCTTGTGCACCCCAGATTGATGGAATGGCTTCCCGAGAGAGAGAGAGAATATGTGAGTGTGTTGGGGGGAGCAATCCAGGGGAAGGGAATGGCACTAAAGCAGATGGTTGTCCTCCCCCTCTTCTCAATTTCTGCATAAGAGTGGGCAGATTCTTGTGCAATCTTGGATGACCTCAGGCAAGAATTGCAACTTACCATTTAAAGGTAATCTGCACAAGACACACAAAAGCACCACTTTTTGATTTTTTTTTATGTACAAATAAAACAAATAAGAAAAAAATCTATTTATTTTTTAACAGTTCATCTACCTTGGAAGTCTCTCTAGATGATAGGGGGTTTGATAGGGATATGAATTCACAGATGCCACATAAAATTAAGTGGTTTAATAGAGATGGGAGTAAATTTTGGTCAGACGGTTAAAACTCTTCTGGATGTTAACATCTTAGTAATGTCTTTTTGAAAAGTTGCTAATGAGATTTTTTTTTTGTTTTTTGTCCTCTTTTTGAAAAGTTGCTAATGAGATTGTTTGTTTGTTTTTTGTCCTAAAAAATGCCCACCCACCCACCCACCAACTTTTACCCTTGTCTGGATATAGTTTATCAAGGTATCCCCATACCTTGGTTCATATACTCACACTAAAGTCAATGGGAACTTAATCATGAGCTTGGATGTGAATGGAATCAGACTATAATGTATCATACATATATTTATGTACACACATTTACATATATCCCCACATACAGACTATTTTTAATCATGGAAAGTAAATAAAACTATATATGTGATACTATTTGTGTCAGTTATGCCACAAGTCCTACAATTAATTGGACTCTGATCAATAGACTCAAGTAGAATAAGATGAATCATGATAGATAGCATTGTACAAAAATCTTGCATTCAGGAACTTGAAATATAGCAGAAATAACCTACTTCCTCTGCAATTTAGTAAGTTTATTGTACTGTGCGTATGTAATAGGTACTAAGTTGCTATAACTGTAGTAATCTACCAACACTGAACAACTTAAACAAATAGAACTATGCTATAGTATGCCATCAATCTTATCTCAATAGTTTAGAAAAGGAATCCTTTTTCTTTGATAAAAGACCCATTGGTCTTGTGATCTATAAATCATCCTTTCAAAAGAAGCCCTTTGAAATATCAATTCCAAGTATACTCTCAGAATATCATTTTATAACTTTTTTCCAGTGATGGAAGATAATCCTCAAACCCATCAAAAAGGTAAATCCATACCATTTTTCACTGAGTTTCGCAACATTAGCAGAAGCTCTCTAAAGGCCCAGTATTCCATCTCTTTTCTTCTATAGCTTGTGAATTAAGTCAAAAGCATGGTGTCAAAACAGCATTTCTCAAACATGTCAGGAAGGGTGGAGTGATAGAAATGAAAACTGATTCAGATAAAGCAGGGCTCTTTCCACTAGAAAATTCTCAGTCCCTTTCATGTGAACCTGGAACCAATTTATTTTAAGAACTGATTTCCCAGTATTAATGTGCTTTAGGGAATCCTCTAGAATGCTTCTTCTCCAGTCTCTTTCAGAGACCTCATTTATTAAGTCGGTTTTACAGATTCCTTATAGACTGTTAAATATTTGATGTCAGCCTGATGCTTTGGCTTTGCTCACCTGTACCTGAATATTAGTCTGCTCTTCCAATAACAATTCTGTGTAGAAATTAGAGATGGACTGAGGAGTGCTCTCTGGAGTAGATTTTTGGTGGGAGTCAAAATCTGGATTTGTGGTTGAATCAGAGGTTATTGCTTTGAACCATCACAAGCTAGTTTTGAGACATGGTTGCCCTAAGGGTGAAAACATTAGCTATAAGATCAGTGGATTCAGCCAGATCACTGCTACTTTAGCTGGCAGAAATTGTCAGATCAATAATACATTACTTTTGTCATCTCATCTAGATGCTTCAAGAACGATTATTTTGTGGGGTGGCATCTGTATTCAAATTAAAACAAGGAATTTGTCCCAGTGTTGTAATTTACAATAACTATCCGCAATCTGACATAATTTGTTTACGAGGCATATTCATTTCCTTTGAAAAATGGAACATGGAAAGCCTCAGTGCTGTAAGGCATCCCATTGTGGGGCCATCTTAGTCATTATGATCTGTATCAGAAACATTTCTTGTTCAAAATTCTGCTATAAGCATACAGGGTTAGACAGTGGGTGACTCTTCAAAGGGAGGGAGAGAGCACAAATAGCTGGATACAAGTATGAGGCTTGCCCAAGACCATAACTCCTAGCAGTGCTGTTGTCTGCTAAAGTGCCGAAGAAGAGAATTGCTGTGTTGGTGGAACTGTACGACACTATTGGCTACCAGTATTTCTTATGGCAAGCATTAAAAATTAGGAGCCAAGTCCTCAAAATCACGAGATTAGCCTAAACCCAATGAGATTTTAAAAAAAGTTGGGATTCTTTTTATTAGTTACTGCTGTTGGTGCATGCAGCCTCCTTGTTTTCCAGCTTCTCTCTGCAACCAGAAAGAATACAAACTTATTTTTGTTAAAATGAAAGTTGAGGTTCTCATGTAATAATCTGCATCTGAGAGCTGGGACTTTATAAAAAACACGCATAATCGTAAATCTCTCAATATAATTGTGAACCTAGGTAACATTACCAGAGCCGTCCCATCCATAGGATGATTCTAGGCAACCACCCCAGGTCTCACACTTGGAGGGACTCCATGGCAGCTGTCCCAATTGTCCCCCAAATCAACATTAGCCCGAGGGCCCAGGGCAGCCTGGTGGATTACCTGGTGGGGCTGGTGCGGGATGGCATTAGGGGACTGATTTCCCCCCCCCCAACCTCCTATACTCAACATTGCAACGGCAAGAGCTGTGGGAATTCAGCAGTCTGCTCCACTTTGCCACCATCTTTCAGCTGGGTCAGTCCCCTTCACTGTGGCAGAGGGAAATGGAGCATTCTAGCTCCAGCCCTGGCCTGTCTGCTCCACTTCCCCGAGCAATGCAGGGCTTGGAAGAACAGAATGGGCTGCTGGATTGCTCCACTTCCTGTGGCTCCCACCCCTGGGGTGGATGTGCTGCTGTTTCCCCATGCCAGGGCCTCTAGTAATCCCCTAGCTTGCATTTACCAGGGGGCAGTGGCTTCGGGGAAGGAGTGCATTGGAGTGGGGGGTGGCAGAGCAGGGGCAGGAACTAGCAGGATGGGGTGGGTCTTGAGGAAGCGGTGGAGTGGAGATGGGGCAGGGTGGAGCAGGGGTGGAGCAGCGCCTGAGGCAGGAGGGTATTGTCTTGCACTTGGGGTGAGGTGGGGGTGCTGCCCTGGTCCATGAGCCCCTCTCCACCCAAGGCCACAGCAAGATGGCATTTATAGTTTTCTTCGGCTTGGAGATTATATTTCATCTTTCTCTTTTCTTCCTCTTTTAATTCCTCTTCTTTGTTTGTTTGGCTTAGTGCAGCAGGATATTTTGTATAGTTTGTGAGATTAAAATGAAGAATTGTATCCAGTTTTACCTTTTCCAGTTATAACACATTAATAAAGATCCTTGACCTTTTAATTTCCTCACAAGAACATCCAAGCACTCTAAATCTATGAAATCATATTTTTAGATGGATTGGAGGGGTCATATGTAATAAACAGTGGATCAAATACTTAGAGGAGTAAACAGTTCTTCATATCTTGTAAATCAGCACTGCTAAATTGTCATGTAACTCTACCAGCCTCATCATAAAATCTGCTTATTAACCTGTATAATGTATGACCTTTTTTAAAAAAACAAACAACCTATTGCAGGCCTGTTATGGAATCACTGCCTTTCTTCTGACCAACAGCTCTACCCATTTTCACTCACTCTAATAAACCCTTCTATATTTTTTCTCTGTCTAATGAAATTCTGGATCATTAGGTGGTATGCAAACTAAGCCATTTGCATGCTACTGATAGATTTTTCACAGTCGTCCCAAAGGTGTAAACCAACAAAACTAGAGTATGATGTCCGCTAGGACACTCTTTTCAATATTTGCTTTTGATGTTTTTATAACCAGCAGTGAAGTGTACTACATTCATGTCAGATTTGCTAGTTATCTGTGGCATGCTGTCTGAGCTACTTATCAAAGGGTTAATTTGCAGGAAGGTAGCACAGTCTGCTGCATAAGATGTGAGAGCTCTTGTACGGAACTGCTGAATGACCTTGGGAAGGTCACTTCTTTTCTTTGTGCCTCTCTCTGTCTGTCAAGCAGGAAGCACAGTGCTTGCTCAGCTTCATCAAATGACTTGAGATGAATGGAGAACAAAGTGTTTATTATTTAGCTTCGAAAAGAGTTTGGCAGCAGTGTCACCTCCTCAGGGTACAATTGAGAGTTTCCTTAGCTGATATAATGCTTGCTCCTGTGCTTTGGTGCTGGTTATAGCGGTCCAGACTATTTCTTGAACCCAGAGCTGATTATGACTTGCTGATCCTCTGTCCTATACAGCTTCAGCTGTGGTGCATCTCCAGACTGCATGGGAACCCTCCCCCGCTCCAGCTGGGAACTAGTGGAAAGCAACAGCAGTCTGGGCCCCATTCCTCTCCTCTTCAGAAAGCTTCCTACTCTGGGATTGGTGGTGATGGTAGCAACTGGAGTTCTATTCCAACCAATAGCTCCATCTTCCTGGGGAAATATCCCAGCCCATCATGCCACCTCATAGGGTACAAAGGAATCCTAGCTGGAGCAAGAACTTGTCCATAATTCCTGTGGAAGAATCATAGACACTAGAACTGGAAGGGAACTCAAGAGATCATCAAGTCCAGTCTCCTACCCTCACAGCAGGACCAAGCATCAGCTAGATCATCCTTGACCGGTGTCAGTCTAACCTGCTTTTGAATATCTCCAGTGATCGAGATTCCACAACCTCCCTAGGCAATGTATTCCAGTGTTTAACCACCCTGACAGTTAGGACGTTTTTCCTACTGTCCAACTGTGACGGGAGAGAGGCGCCCTGCACTCCAGTGCCCTTGGAAGCCGCATATGCGGCGGCTGGTGAGCGGGAGCCGGACACTCCAGAGCGAGCGGCGGTGTGCGGGCAGGAGCCGGGCGCGCCGGGATCGGCCGCCCCGTGATTGGCTAGCCGAGACGCCCCAGGAACCAGTGACTGGCGGTGTGCCGACGGCTCCAGGGCGGCAGCCGCGGCAAGGCGCCCGGGCTGGCTGAGGACCCTGTATGATGTCACCCCAGGGGCGGGGCTACCAGGCGGGTACGCTGCCCAGCCGGAAGTAGCCTCATGCACCGGCGGCGGAGCCCCCCCGGGAATAAGCAGCGGGCGGGTTTAAAACGTGGAGGAACAGCGGGAAGGGGGGAGGCCCAGAGAGAGCCCCCCCCCGCACTGCAACACAGAGGCTG